ACTGTGTGAGTGCGGCTGTGTGAGTGCGACTGTGTGAGTGCGACTGTGTGAGTGCGACTGTGTGAGTGCGACTGTGTGTGTGTTAGGGTGACTGTGTGTGCGTGACTGTGTGTGTGTGAGTGAGTTAGTGAGTGAGTGAGTGAGTGCCTGTGTGTGTGTGTGAGTGCCTGTGTGTGTGTGAGTGCGACTGTGTGTGTGAGTGCGACTGTGTGTGTGAGTGCGACTGAGTGTGTGTGTGTGAGTTTGTGTGAGTGTGTGTGTGTGAGTTAGTGAGTGAGTGAGTGTGACTGTGAGTGCGACTGTGTGTGCGTGAGTGCGACTGTGTGTGCGTGAGTGTGCGTGTGTGTGTATGAGTGAGTGAGTGAGTGACTGTGTGTGTGTGTGTGAGTGCGACTGTGTGGGAGTGCGACTGAGTGTGTGTGTGTGTATGAGTGTGTGTGTGAGTGAGTGAGTGTGTATGAGTGTGACTGTGAGTGTGTGTGTGTGTGTGTGTATAAGTGTGACTGTGTGTGTGTATAAGTGTGACTGTGTGTGTGTATAAGTGTGACTGTGTGTGTGTGTATAAGTGTGACTGTGTGTGTGTGTGTGTGTGTGTGTGTGTGTGTGTGTGTGTGTGTGTGTGAGTGAATGAGTGTGACTATGAGTGTGAGTGTGTGTATAAGTGTGACTGTGTGTGTGTGTGTGAGCGTGAGCGCGTGTGTGTGTATGAGTGTGACTGAGTGTGTGTGAGCGTGCGTGCGTGTGTGTGTGTCTATGAGTGTGACTGAGTGTGTACGTGTGTGCATGCATACGTGAGTGTGAGTGTGTGTGTGTATGTGTGTGTGTGTGTCCCCAGTGCTTGGCAACAATTCTTGGGTTTCTGCTGTTCCTATGGCAACACTTAATAATTCATGGCATATTTTCAAAGCTTGTTATAGCTGTATTGTTCAAGGAAACTCGGCCATCAAGGCAAGGTTAAATTACATTTCGATCTCTTTGCAAGTTCATGAACATGATAAAAACTTTATCTTCAAGCCAATTAAATTAATTAAGAAATACAAATAAATTGCTGTATTTGTAAGATCTTTATTATCACTTTGCTCATGTAGCAGCTGTTTTGAGTGGGTGTTAGTGAAGTTTTTGTGTCCATGCTGCAGTTTGTCTAGTCATTTTATTAACTAGCATTAATATTTACATAACAGCCTTCAGTTGTGTTATATAACCTTATATTTGCTGCGAGACTTCTTCATTTACAGTTCTTGTACTGATACGCATTTCACTCATGGCTACATATATTTTGCCTCCTGCAAGTGTGAGATTGTGTGCAAGAGACAGGCCTAGGGAGCACGTTAAGTCATTATGCTGATGCAAAGGTTGTTTGAGAAGACCCATAATGACGCTGCCGTCTAAGATGATGTGTTTGTGGTCGTATCTCAGGTGGTTCTGATCAATGCGGTGAAGGACGTGGCTAAAGCTCTGGGTGACCTGATCAGCGCCACGAAGGCTGCGGCCGGCAAACCTCACAATGATCCCGCCATGTTACAGCTCAAGAACTCTGCTAAGGTAAAGACACACACAAAAGCACAGGACCATCTCATTCATCCACACACACACAAACACTCCAGTTAGTCCTCAGTCTGTCTCCGCCTGAGGCCTTTAATAACTGATCTCGGTCAAAATGACAGTTCTGATTATTGTGGGCTGCCAGAAAATATTAGGTGACCTGAAATCAGGAGTCAGTCCATTTGAAGAACTGCTAATGATTTACATTCAGATTAGTGGTGCTATTGTTAACTAAAACTGAAGCTAAAACTATAAAAAACGAATTGAAAATTAAACAATGTTTTCAGTAACTGAAATAAAATAAAAAATTTAAACTTAAAATTAGAAATGTTGCCTTAGCATCCAAGTGAAATAAATAAGTTTAAATGCGAAAATCATGTAACAGAATTACTCAAATT